TTCGCCGATTCTTATGAATGGACCAGTCACTTAATTAACTCTAGTAATTTCCCTAAAACTATATTACGACCAAGAATTAGTACAGTATTGGGCAAGACGAAAAGTCCACACTTGAACAAAACGTTCAAAAAAAATTAGTGTGGTGTTCTCCGAGGTGTAAGTAGACGACACATAGAGGATTCCTGCTAGTGGCTTATGTCTTTCGCAAGAGCGGTGGTAAGTAGCACCAGCACCGTACTGAAGATGCCGCTCTTCGTGCCAATATCCTCTTGGTACCAGCACCTGGGAGGTTTTTCTTTAGGTCTCAGTAAACTTGTCTAAGTTTGGGCCTGGCCAGTAATAATGGATATTAGTTGGGAAACTTTGCCGCTTAGATTTACCCAAGAGCTTTCAACTTTTGACCTCCTTCCGCTCAGTGGATAACAAAATGAGATTATCAAATATTTCGTTACGTGCCAAAATCTCGAAGTCCCTATCTTTGGAACAAGTCGGATCGCACGGCTGACCCCGTGCTCTCCTCCTTCTCTTGAGCTTGGCTTCGCCGAGCTCTCCTCCTTCTCTTTAGCTCGGCTTCGCCGAGCTGGCCTGGCTTCGCCAGGCGGCTCCATAATTTTAACGGAACTTTTTCGGTAGTGGGCTGCTCATAAGGCGCTGTAGTGATCGAATCGTAACAGACAGAGCAAGGCTTAGGATCCCGCACAACTCAGCACGCGCTTCTATTAGGTTGTTCGAAAAGTCCTGCGACACTTTGACCAAATTTTTCGAACTAAATTTCTGGTCAGTAAAGGACATCTCCAATCTACAAGCAGTTGATGACTAGGACTAGTGCCTTTCTTTTGCACAGCTTCTCATTTCCATTCTCATAGAACTACGGCAACTGTGGTAAAAAGAAGAGGTGGACCTCATTCTCGAGTTGAGGTTGATTTTCGGAACTTTTGCTTTTTGAAGGATGCGATAGTGACCAAAGGAGGTGGTAATTAGAGGCTGCTAACTTTGTTAAATAACCTGAGTACGGTCGCATTCTCTGATCGAAATGCATGATCTTTTGGCGTAGCCTGATCCCCACAGCGGTCCTCGCATTACCGAGTAGTAGAGAAAAATTGAGTATTTCTGAATGAATTCAAGCGTGACGTCATCCATATTTTGAAGTCGATTAAGGTGGACTGTGGTCCTTACAACGGTGCTGGTATCCAGTGATACCGCTTGGAAGTCCCACCAATAACACACTGAAATCTTTATCCCATGCACATCTGTTTTTGGCTAAGCAATCTACTTTTCTGTTTGAGAGATCCTGCGAGGGACATGTGCATGATGTACGCAAGGACTCCACCACTCGCTACCAACCACAAGATCTCACAAAAGTTCCTACGCTGTGTACAAGGAAAAGAAAACTCAGTCACGGTCATTCGGTATGACTTGTCAGACGGGTCCAACTCATGAGGCATCCTTCACAAAAATTTTTTCCGATAACCGAGATTGCGGAGAAGCATGGCAGTTGTCAGTCAGATGGAGCCTAGAGAGGTCGCCAACTTACCGGTGGTTACGTTCGGCTGCGCCTCAAGAAGCTTGAGTAAAGGGCCGTCATTCTGTGCTGATGGGCGACCTATACATTGCCAACTACGAGTTAAATAAGTCCAGCCTAGAAGCGCTGATGCAAAAGCTACCCTCTGCCATGGCAAGCGATATCCTTCCTCAAGACAACGTAGGTGTCAGCTTCCTTGACTACGGCGAAGTGGCCCTACAGGAACTCATAATATGGGACAGGTCGAAAAGTACCTCGATCTCTGGGGGACTTTTAAGCTTCCACAAAGTCATGATATACCCATGTGCAGAAACCCCAGAGGACAGTCTCCACTAATCAGGGATAAAAACATCCAAAATGATTTTTGGTCTTTTTCTAGAACAATTCAATCAAAGTGTCGCAGGACTTTTCGAACAACCTAATATTTCAGCAGCGGTGTATTTCCGCGCCATTACGCCCATACAATACTCTGTAGCATATAGATAAATCTGTAGTCGGCCAATACAGGGCAGTATGAATAGTTCAGTGAAAAAGCAGATTTCGTTTCCATTACCTGCACCGGAATGCCTACCGATGAACGCTTTCCTTTTCATTAGCATGCGATCCGCTCGTTGAAGTGTTTTTCGGTTCTCCTCGAATTTCCCTGAGATTCCTGTTTCAGGCGAACTACATACCCCCTTCCCCCTACATAATGTCGACATCGACATTATGTAGTAGGATAAGTTCATTTTCTAGGGCTATCAGGGAAGTGATGGCTAAAGGAAGTATGCACACTGAGCCTTTGATACTTGGGGGTATAGTGATAAGAGAGGTAATGATAATGGCCCCTTATCCTTTCTTATCAATTGATAAGATCCTGTCACCCGTCATCAATGTCCCTATCACTAAAACTATAATTTGGTAGTGTAAAGGCTCCAGCAATTTGACTGAACAGCATTGGCAACGTTCCTTATCAGCCCTATCAGCTGTTATCACCTCACGTGCCGTGTCCCCATCTCCAACTCTATATCATTTTCTGAAATTAATGCCTAGCTGATGCTGTGTTCCGCGTTATGAGTATGGTGACCTTACCATTCTAACTCCCCTTATCAAATCCTATCAGCTGCTATCATTCCCTGTCACCCATCAATAATGTTCCTGTCCCACGTCCTATATCATACCTTGGAACCAATGTCCCACTGTTACTGTGTCCCGCACTATGGGCTCGGTCACCCTCCCTTCTAAGGCCCCCTCCCCCCAACACACAAACACAAACACAAACAGAGACAATACACACACTTTACAGACATACTTAGCGGATTATATATAGTAGGATGCTTGCTTTGGAGCAAGAAAGGTAAGAAGGATCATCGAGTCGACTCGGGAACGAAATCGACCGATAATTCTTATCACCTGTTACTACACTTACAGTCAGTACACTTCTTAGGCTGCGTTTATACTTTGCGGCAGCGTAGCGTAGCGTAGCGCAGCGTAGCGTAGCGCTTCCAGCGTACGCCAGCGGCAGTGCCGAAGAGAGGATGCATATCGATCTAGCTTCACCAGCGTCACCAGCGGCACGCTGGCGTACGCTAGCGTACGCCAGCGTTTCTCCAGCGTTTCACCAGCGTTTTGCTAGCGCTTGCAGCGGCAGGGGAGTAGAGACTATGTGGCCGTGAGAGAAGCGGAATCGACGTGTATTGTAGAGACCATATGGCCGTCGGAGACGCAGAAGCGATGTGCATTGTAGAGACTATGTGGCGTCGGAGACGCAGAAGCAATGTGCATCGTAGAGACTATGGGGCCGTCGGAGACGCAGAAGCGATGTGCATTGTAGAGACTAAGGGCGAGTGAGAGACGCGCAATCGATGTGTTTTGTACCCTCCAGCTCTCCCATAGTCTCTACTCCCCTGCCGCTGCAAACGCTAGCAAAACGCTGGTGAAACGCTGGAGAAACGCTGGCGTACGCTAGCGTACGCTAGCGTACGCCAGCGTGCCGCTGGTGACGCTGGTGAAGCTAGATCGATATGCATCCTCTCTTCGGCACTGCCGCTGGCGTACGCTGGAAGCGCTACGCTACGCTGCTGCGCTAGCGGCTACGCTACGCTTAACGGCTGCCGGCAAAGTAATATAACGCAGCCTAACCAGTGTTCGCTGAGGATGATGAGAATGTCTGGCTGCGTTTGACGCGGCGCCAACCCGTTTTTTTTCCTTCCTGCAAGCGACGAGACTGTATGATATCGTTCATATCAGGCGTTTTCCACCAGTGTTGTCACTTATTCTTGAACAACGTGGTGAGAGTGGGTCTGGCGGCGGCGTCAAATCACAGCCGCGCGGGCAACGCCCCTAAAATCATGTCGCCAGGCGAACCAGACTGTGAAAGTGGGGTTAGGGAGTCACCCGTGGGTACCTAAATAAGATGCCCGATGATTATTGCTTGCTGATAACAGCTCTATTTTAAAGGCAGCGTCCGCGATCAACCATTGCGAAAAAACTGCTTCATTGAAAACGAACGCGGAGTCCGCAACCGCAGCGGATATCCGACTCTCGCGCTCGAATCGATTGTTACGAAGGCGGAGTCAAACGAGCTTAGAGCTGACGCTCCTTTCCTCCCCGACTGGGTTGAACAGTTTCAGTGCTTGCTGGCAAATTTGATATACGCTGAATTTCTAGAGTTCCGAGCGGCGACGTGTATTGGAGAACTCACCAGAAGTTTGCGAAACTCGTCCACATGCCTTAAATTTCATAGGGTCTTATTTCACGCTCTTCCACACCTTTTTCTGCTTTTTTTTGATTAGTGCTTCATTGGCCACCTGTTCTAGCAAATGTGACCCCTGAAACCTGCCAAAGTCCATCGCGGGCGCTGTCTTTAAAGAGGGAA